TTTGTGTTTTTCTTATTTATTTGTGTATCTTGTGTGTTTTTGTTCTACCTTGTTATTTTTTGTATTACATTGTTATTGATTACTGCATTGTTGGAGTTAGAGCTTGCAAGAAAGGCATTTCACTATACTTGTGCATGTGACATTAAAACTTGAAACACACAGCAAAAGGACAATACAGGAACAAAATAGAATCCTACTACAATGGCTCCGACGCTCGTCAGATGTGGCAAGGTTTGCAGACTATTACAGATTACAAAGGAAGACCCAGCCGTGAGTTGCCCAATGATGCCTCCCTCCCAGATGAGCTAAATGCCTTCTATGCTCGCTTTGAGGTAAACAACACGGGCCATGCATGAGGGCTCCCACTGTTCCGGGCAACTATGTGATCTAGCGCTCTATGGCTGTCACGCCCTGACTCTAGGGACTTGTATTTGTTGAGTCAGGGTGTGTATTTTCTGTGTTGGGTTTGTCTATGTATAGATTCTATGATGTGTATATCTATGTTGGCCGGGGTGGTTCCCAATCAGAGGCAGCTGTAGTTCGTTGTCTCTGATTGGGGACCATACTTAGGCAGCCTTTTGGCACGAGTTAGTTGTGGGATCTTGTTCCGTGTGAGGTATGTTATTTGTCTACCTTGGACTTCACGTTTCATTTGTTGTTTTGTCGTGTGTTCAGTACGTAAATAAATATGGATGCATATCACGCTGCGCCTTGGTCCTTCTCGTTCATGAACGATCGTGACAATGGCTCAGTTGAGTAAGACTTTTTAAAGGGTTAACACTCGCAAGGCCACGGGACCAGACGCAATACCAGGGCATGTGCTCAGAGCATCCACGACCCCATCCACATTTATGAGGCTGTAGTGGAAGTTCCTTGGTGTTCACATATCTTAGGACTTAACATGGTCCACACACACCCGCACAGTCGTGAAGAGGGCACAACAGCGCCTCATCTCCCTCAGGAGGCTGAAAAGATTTGGCATGGGCCCTCAGATGCCCAAGAGGATTTACAGCTACACCTTCGAGAGCATCTTGACTGGCTGCATAACCACTTGGTATGTCAAATGCACACCTACCTCAACTACCACATATCCCTGCACATTGACATGTTATTGGTACTCCTTGTATATAGCGTCATTCTGTGTTTTATTTCTCATGTGTTTTTATTTTCTGCATCGTTGATGAAGAGCTTGTAAGCATTTCACTGTAAAGTCTACACCTGTTGTATTCAGCGCATGTGACAAATAAAATGTGATTTGATAAGACCTTTACAGTAAGCTGAAGGAGGGAGTTAGGTCAGTCAGAACTATTGTATGGCATTTAAATGACCCTTTCTACGTTCGGTTCTTGACCATGACAGTTTGACACTCTCCAGAAAACAACACACTTATAAAACCAAAGACCGCCTCTTGAGAGTCAAAAGATGCTCCAACCTGTCCTGTTGGCTTTCTACAGTGTAATCGTCCAATCTCCTGACCAGCAGAGATGCACTGTAGCTTATGAGATAATAATACAATATAGACCTCTCTGCTGCTTCAGTCCACTTTTTCACCTCACAAAGTCACAGTTAGACAGCTGCGCAACGCATGGTGGAGTCACTCCAGCTGGGGAATGTGAACTGGCTATTACCTGCAGGATTAGAGAAACATCTATGGTCTGCAATAGAGTTATGTCATTGGCAAAGGTAGTGTGAGGGGATGGGGTTTTTCTTTCAGTAAATGCCATGAATCAGGACCTCAGATTAACATCTCAATCAAAAGGACAGTTGGGTGAAGGGAGAGCCTTCCCACTAGGCACAGACGTCAGTCCGTTCAACGTCTAGTGTTGATTTACATTTGGTTGAGTTGTCAACTAACGTGAATTCAACGTGAAATCAACAAGAAATATCACCATATCGTTGAATTTATGTCAAAAGTTGGGTGGAACAGGAAAAGCTCATTGCCTCCCTCGCTCCCTCACCCCGTTTCCATCTCTCTCCTCTCCTCCTCACCATCCGTCAGTTCTCACTCCTGTGCCTGTGCTTTTTGAAGCTCAAGCTAAAGTTCAAGTTGAGTTCACAGACAGGAAAATGATGATTAGAATGGGCTTAAATGTGTCTCTCCATAAAACTCAGGTGACAATGGAGTATAAGCACCTTCATTAAGCTGGCAAATTCCAATCCTCTTCTTTCAACATATCTCATTAAAACTTCTCTTATCTTGGCTAAGAATGTTCAGCGTTTCTGGAGCAGCTTTGATGAGAATGTCTTTCACGTCACCTCAGCCATGTCATAGGCTAGTAAGGCTGAAAAAGTTAGCGGGCTAATTCTGACGCTATAAAATTCTGTCGTCATTAAATCCCATATCACCTCACCTAAATCATAACAGAAATATAATGTACAGTATGCCGCACCAATACTTGACAAAAGTTCAAATCCTATCTCTAAATGTAGCACTGTACTGTAGTTGTGATTCAAGGTAGTAGTAGATATATCTTCTCAACAAAACATCAAAGGAAGAAAGAAAGACCTAATTGAAAAAAGTTTCTCATTGCAGATAGAAATGCACATATCTCCCCATTCCATTAAAACCATTTACACTGTTGGACAGAATGATCCATTTTCATTTGTTGATATCTGGAAGGACAGCCACCAACAACTTTGGTAGACATGACGTTGGCACAGTCCGTAAAAAGTTTGACATACCTCTCAGGACTATGAATGGCCTGTCTCCCATAGGAACCCTGCATGGCAGACGTCTGTTTGAAGTTAGAGCTTGCAGGTTTGTCTGTAGACATCCTCTCTCTCTTTCTCTCTCTCTCTCTCTCTCTCTCTTCAGGCCTGGAGGTAGGTTCATCTTTCTCATTTCTACCAACTCTATTTTCCCCCTGCAGAGTTTGAGAGGCTCTTTGTTACCTGCTGAGAGGAGTGGTACACAACCTGACAATGGCATCTTAATCAGGACAACCACAGGAGGGAGAAGACTGTGGGAGGAGAAACAGGAGTTGGGAGCTAAAACGTATTTAGTCATCAGCACAGATTGTCTGATGATGTGGCGGTTAATGTCATTCTCTGAAATGATAGAATCAGTCATGTGTTTCAGAGTGTCTTCCATGTGTTTTATGAAAAAAGAGAGTTCTACTTGTCGATACCAGTGGAAATCATGTACATCAGATGTTGTAGAAATGTCTCCGGCACCGCAGTTTCCTTCACTAAATCCATATTGGTGCCTCTATATCAAAATCAATGTAAATGCATACGAGTACATTATTGGCAGCCTCAACAAGTGAATGATGACGTTCATTTTACATCCAGGTCAGTGAATGAGAAATGCTGATGAGGGCTATCAGCCCTGTTGATTGAAAGGGGATAATTTAACGATGGTCTACAGTATATGGGCTTTCTCAACATCTACCTCCAGCTCAATCTCCCTCAGAGACAGACTGGGGCATGGACTGGCTCCCCTCCAATCTCACTTTACTGGGTCTCATCATGGTATTGGGGTATGGCAGCTGTGGAGTATACGTTTCTGTTTGACGGTTACTTCAGTAAACTGTGCCACTAGAGATCCTGGTTCGAATCCAGGCTCTGTCGCAGCCGGCCGCGACCGGGAGACTCATGGGCGGCGCACAATTGGCCCAGCGTCGTCCAGGGTAGGGGAGGGAATGGCCGGCAGGGATATAGCTCAGTTGATAGAGCATGGCTGTGGGTTGTGGGTTCGATTCCCACGGGGGGCCAGTATAAAAAAAAAAAAAAAAAAATGTATTCACTAACTGTAAGTCGCTCTGGATAAGAGCGTCTGCTAAATGACGTAAAATGTAAAAAAATGTAAATCATGTCTACAAGACTGAAAATCCTGAAGTCGGACAGACCAAGATAGCAAAGAACTGCAGAGCTGCTGGTTGTGGTGAGACGAGTGAGAGGTGGGACATATTGCACCTAGAGCCATGGATGAGCCAACACTACCCTCTGTCCCAACAGAACTCACTCCGAGATCTGCATCATCTAAAAATGCAGCCTTCCACCCACTCTGGCAACCTACTCACTAATTGTCTGTGGGTATTTAGGCACCACTCCATGAACTAAATGAGTTCAAGCCAACAGTGCCTGCAGAGAAATCACCAACTCTGAAAGAAGTAATTAGAATATTCTCTTCCATTTGGCTTTGTGAAATTGACCAAAAAAGATGGATGACAGCTTTCAACTCAATTGACTTTCTAAATCTACAGAATCATTCTTGTCTCAAGAAGTAACCTGACTCGTAAATTTGTTTTAGAGTTGAAGAGTTGTACCAGAATGTTTCAATTGTCTTTTTATTAATCAACACTTGTATGTACAAATATACTAATGTATGAGACGTGGAAAATATTACATCTAGTAGTGCATCTACAGTACAAATATCCCAACTGCACTATGATCAAAGTATTTTACAGAACATTTCATTCCATACAGTATCTGCATGTCACTTGAAGCAATGCAAATACTAGCAACTATAGCACTGCAATAAAATTATCAGGGATATCATTTTGAATCCCCTAATTTCTTTGTTCCTCATAACTCCATCCCCCTAACATTCCTGTTGTTGGACCCAATGTAGTCCATAAACACTATTGTAAACCTTTCACCCTATAGCAGCTTCATCACTTTAGCAGGGTACAGTACAATCATGCATTTCCCTGAGATGCATTATCATGTCAGCCACATGTCTTGCTTTTTTTGGTCAGAGCAGCAGGTAGGGAGTCTAATTTTTCTCACTTTAACATTATCCAGCTGTCCAGTTCCATTAAGAATTCCCACCTGTGCTTTAATGATACCAGCAGTGATCTATTGTACAGCTGCTCCTCTACCCCAATGCGACCGACCCTGCTGGTTCCTCTGTGTCGCTGCTTCCCAGCCCACAGTGACCTCCAGCAGGGCCATCCTCCTCAGTGTCCCTCCCACCAATAGAAAGGGCCCCTGGGATGGCCAAGGCTGAGGGAGGAGTGGCGGATGGCAGGTCTTCTTCCCCCAGGTCCTGGTCATAGTCATAAGCAGTCCCTGCACAGCGCCACCTGGCCCTTACGGTAGTCCCTGCAGGGACAGAGGCGGTGGTACTTGGCGTTGGCCCCGGCACAACTGAACAGCAGAGCGTCTTTCTGGAGGCCACACTCACTGCGATCCACTGAGAAGGCTGGGAAGATGTGGTTCATCTCAGCCTCCACCCCCTCACACTGCACCTCCAGCCTGGGAGGAGACACCAGAGAGAAGTTCCTTTATATATCATTTTTCATATTAAGTCATGTGATTTACATTATAATCTATGTTTAAAAAAGGCTTTATAAATGGTTATCAATATCATTACCACCAAAACACATGGGGTAGTGCATTAGAATGAGAGAGGATCTTCAGAAGAATTTAAGATGCTCATGTTCACAGTTTGTTTCCTTAGTGATCGTGCTGTATAACAGAATCTACTAAATGGCTAAATGTTAAATTACAAGATGTAATGTTGTGTAACACAGATGGTGATGTGATCACATGGTGGTGGAGGGAGGCAGCAGCAGCTCACCCGCTGAAGGCCTCTTTGATGTTGATGAAGCGGTAGAAAGCGGGCTCACAGATCAGGCCTGCGCTCTGGCACGCCTCCACACATGACTGGCCCTCCAGGGAGGCCAGCATCCGCAGGGCGCTGAGCGGGGGCCAGGAGGGGGGAGTGCTGATGTTGGAGGCCCAGGCCAGGGCACTGGAGTTGGGCAGCAGGACGAAGGGGCTGGGGGGGCTGCCTGGCCAACTGTTGGAGGCATTCGCTGAGGGAAATTGAGCTTTGGGTGCACAGAATTCCTGCAGGTGTACAATACAATAGAATAACTACACAATCTGGCTATTCAGCATTACATTCATCAATCAATTCTACTGTAGCCTACATTCAGCGCTGAAGCGGAAGGTAGCCTAGAGGTTAGAGTGTTGAACCAGTAACCAAAAGGTTGCTGGTTCGAATACCCGAGCCAACAAAGTGAAAAATCTGTCGATGTGCCCTTGAGCAAGGCTTAACCCTAATTTGCTCCAGGGGCGCTGTACTAATATGGCTGACCCTGTAAAACAACACATTTCACTGCACCTATCCGGTGTGTGACAATATATATTTTTTTATTAATTCAGCTGTGAGCTAAACATTCATTTATTAGCTATACATTCAGATGAGTTCTGATTTAGACAGAATAACAAAAGCAGCATCACCATAGAGCTTATGACAGACACATTGACTTCCAGCCTCCTGGAATAATATTAAGAATCAGTACCAGTCAAAAGTTTGGACACACCTACTCATTCAAGGGTTTTTCTTTATTTTTACAGTTTTTACATTGTAGAATAATAGTGAAGAAATTGCAACTATGAATTAACACATATGGAATCATGTAGTAACCATAAAAGTGTTAAACAAATCAAAATAAATGGTATATTTGAGATTCTTCAAATAGCCACCCTTTGCCTTGATGACAGCTTTGCACACTCTTGGCATTCTCTCAACCAGCTTCATGAGGTAGTCACCTGGAATATATTTCAATTAACAGGTGTGCCTTCTTAAAAGTTAATTTGTGGAATGTCTTTCCTTCTTAATGCGTTTGAGCCAATCAGTTGTGTTGTGACAAGGTAGGGGGGCTATACAGAAGATAGCCCTATTTGGTAAAAGACCAAATCCATATTTTGGCAAGAACAGCTCAAATAAGCAAAGAGAAACGACAGTCATCATTACTTTAAAACATGGTCGAATTGCTGCAAAGAAACCACTACTAAACGACACCAATAAGAAGAAGAGACCTGCTTGGGCCAAGAAACACGAATAATGGACGTTAGACCAGTGGAAATCTGTCCTTTGGTCTGATGAGTCCAAATTTGAGATTTTTGGTTCCAACCGCCGTGTCTTTGTGAGACGCGGTGTGGGTGAACGGATTATCTCTGCATGTATAGTTCCTACCGTGAAGCATGGAGTAGGTGTGATGGTGTGGGGGTGCTTTGCTGGTGCCACTGTCTGTGATTTATTTAGAATTCAAGGCACACTTAACCAGCATGGCTACCACAGCATTCTGCAGTGATATGCCGTCCCATCTGGTTTGGGCTTAGTGGGACTATCATTTGTTTTTCAACAGGACAATGACCCAACACACCTCCAGGCTATGTAAGGGCTATTTGACCAAGAAGGAGAGTGATTGAGTGCTGCATCAGATGACCTGGCCTCCACAATCACCCGATCTCAAACCAATTGAGATGGTTTTGGATGAGTCGGACGGCAGAGTGAAGGAAAAGCAGCCAACAAGTGCTCAGCATATGTGGGAACTCCTTCAAGATTGTTGGAAAAGCATTCCAAGTGAAGCTGGTTGAGAGAATGCCAAGAGTGTCTAAAGCTGTCATCAAGGCAAAGGGTGGCGATTTGAAGAATCTCAAATATAAAATATATTTTGATTTGTTTAACACTTTTTTGGTTACTACATGTTTCCAAATTTGTTATTTCATAGTTTTGATGTCTTCACTATTATTCTACAATGTAGAAAATAGTAAAAAATAAAGAAAGACCCTTGAATGCGTTGGTGTGTCCAAACGTTTGACTGGTACGACTGGTACTGTACATACATACATACATACATACATACATAATTTTAACAGCAGGACACTGTAAAGTCCATTATCCCTCTGAAGAGTATGATTTAGGCTGTTTGAGAATGTTTGAATCCTAAGCAACCTGACTACACATAGTTTGAAGTACAACATAGCTTATGTAGTAGGTCAAAGCTGTGTGCTGGAAAACCTTGGTAGAGCATGGGTGAAATAGGCATTGTGGTACTCATATTTTTTCAGCTTCAGACCAATGCCTATTCTCAATTAGAACCTTGTTTTTTGTTTTAAAGGTGATTTATGCAACATTATTATACAACATTATAATTAAGCAATAATGCCCGAGGGGGTGTGGTATATGGCCAATATACCACGGCTAAGGGCTGTTCAACATCCCGACCACTATTTGTATCAGTTTGAATCACTTTCAATGGGGGACTTTTATTCTGAAGGTGAATCGCAAATTCCACTCTTGTGGCTAATCTGTATTGTGGCTAGCTTCACACAGGTGTGCAGGGCAGAGTTAAAGAATATCCGACACATGGCAGAGTTGTTAGTTTGGCACTGTGAAGGAGTGTACTGGAATGTATTATGGATATTAAACTGATGAGTTTTTCTGATGCTAGCAAGCATGCATTTGCACCGCTTACATACTCTGTCAGAAATGCTACAAAAAGGTAGCACATTGTTGGTTCTTAACGAACAGAAATGAGCACGTGAGAGCGATAAATTATACATTTAATAAAAAACTGTTGCACCTACAAATCTAGTCAATCCGGCATTTTAAAAATCCAATGGTCGCTTTATCGACGCTATAGTCTTGTTTTAATCCGACGTCTATAATTTTAGCAAGGTAGGCGCAAGAAATACTCTTAAAAATAAATTGCTAACAACCTGTTAGAAAATCTGCTATGTGGTTTTCGGTAACGGCCGGACGGCTCATGACGAGAGGCGGGGAGTGTGTTGTGTACCTCCAATCATGTTGATTTGCGAATTTTCATTGAGATTGGTGTCATATTGGAACTATTGTCGTGTCTATAATGCAGTTATGCCACCAATATTCAAATGAGGTTTAGGCAGGAATCAAGCCTGGGAGAGCACCTCCCCCAGCCGGGCCTATTCATAAGGAACAGGTAATAATATTTCTGTAACATCTCCCTCTGGCCCCCGTTTGCAATAACCAGGCCTCCTCCACTCCCCTCCACCACACCACAGCCCCCCAGCCCTGGGCTACTGCTCATCAGGAAAACAGGGTGGCAAGGGCCAGCTGTCACACATCTCATCCAGAGTCTGTGTGTGTGTGTCATGAGAAAGCAGTATTGTAAAAAAAAAAAAAGAAGAAAAAATAAAAAAAGAAGAAAAAAACATCAGTGAGGCAGGGATCTTGTGGGTCAGAGTGGGTTAGCGCTGCCTGTGGAGGAGGATAGAAGGGTTGTCGCTGATTGGGAGTCTGGGCTCGTACATGCCAGGCGGGCAGCCTCAGTGTCAGTCAGTCATAGCCCACTGAGCACACTACTCTGTGTGTGATGGACAGATGGGGGGGGAATCAGGGCTTGGCATAGGCCACCCTATTTCCCCTCTTCTCCCACTGCCATGGCCTTAACCAGACTGGCAGACAGGCCCCTCTGTGCACCGCACAAATCATCTCGGCATGATGAATGAACTGGAGCAATGTGTGTAATTGTGCAAATAAATATTAAAAGGCATTTAGTGTGTGTGGTTGGGTGCGTGTGCATGGACGTATTTAACTATACGTGTGGGTACCAGAAGTCCCCACAAGAATAGTAAACAAACAAAAATTGTACCAACTGGGGACATTTTGTTAGTCCGCACAAGGTCAAATACTATTTCTAGGGGGTTTAAGGTTAGGGT